TCCCGGATGTGTTTCGTCCGTGTGATCTTACCCGGGTAGCGAGATGAAGGCGGCGTATCAGGCACGACAGAGTCTGATACAGCATGCTCCGCAGAAGCATGATGGGGCGAGCTAGAAGGAGCGGGTGGAGGCTCACTAGCAGGCACGGACAAACACAAAGACTTCTTAGCCCCTGCAGTTGATCGAGGTTTCTGCAGGCGCTTCGGCTTGTCACGATTCATTGAGCGTCGCTGTACTAAGGACACTTCACGCTGGCAGGAAAAGTCATGCGAGATAGCAAGCGACTCCCTGAATTCACTGATCGTGACAACTAACTTTTTGGCCTGAGGAGAGGAATTATCATCCTCAGAAGAAGGAGCAACAGCAGCGCCCGCGCCACTATCAGTCTCCATCCCGGTGGGAGGGACGGCAACAATAGCGGAATCGACGGGCTGTTCAATGGATGTACAAGGTGGAATGGCATCGACATGAACAGAGGAAGCTTCTGGAGAGGATGGACGAGGCGATGACGCCTCCATAGGCTGGGAGCGCTGAACAGGCACACCAGTATTGGATGGTGGTTTCTTTGTCTTTCCCTGCTGGCAACGGCGGGCAAAATGCCCAAAAGCGTTACAGGACAGGCAATAAGGTGGCTGACCGTTGTAACGGACCGAGCAAGGGAAGTTGGCTATCTTAACGACCACAGGAATTGACCGAAGAAAAGACATGGTGACCATGCGTGTCCCAGTGCGAATGTCCTTGTAGCCTTTAACGCAAAGATCACGAACGCTAACTACACGGCCATACGCGGACAAAGAAGACGAGATATAGTTATTTGGCATATGGAGAGGAGCCCGATCCACAAAGACATTCGTGAGTTGCTCATATGCCGGGGTTGGTGTGATGTTTACACCGCGAAAATTAAGACCATTAAGGTCATATCCCATCTTGTAGGAGGGAGAGGTGAATTGGATCCGATACTGATTGTCAGGCAAAGCCTGAACAGCAGAGATCCTCTCAGCCCCAATGGCCTTAATTAATGCCACCCTAACATCTTTAACGGTGTCTTTGCAGACCAACCGTTTGGGGAGGCGAAAGCAGGAGCTTGTCTGATTCCACTTTGCGAAATCCTCCGCGGTAAAGTTAGGCAATGACATATTTTAAATTAAATGTATATACTTATGTAGGTGTATTAGTGAAACAAAGAATTAGGCCAACAGAGGTGACTCGCTGTGCCTACTAAACGCTAGAACTGACTGATCCTTAATAAAACAGGCAGTACAACCACTGAAGGCGACCACCGTTTAGAAAGAAGAAGGAAAAGCCAGATATATATATATATATAGATATACTAATACACCGCTAAAAAAGAGCGATTGCACCAAAAGTACACAGACAACCGCCAAATGTGCCCAAAACCAACGGCACAAAGAGCGAATGTACAAAAAAGTGTACAAACAACCGCCAAAGAGCGATTGCACCAAACAAGAACAATCGCCAAAGAACAAAAGTCAAGTAAATATGCGCACAAACCAGCACAAAACTTAACAAAGAGTGATTGCCTAAAACCTAAGACAAACACCAAAAACCCAGGTACAAACGACTACCCCCCCCCCCCCTAAACACGAAAGGAGCAGTACCACAAACAGTGATAGAACCAATCACGAACTACCCAGGAAAAGAAAGAAAACCAGGGAACGGACAAAAACAGCCCAAAGCTGGTGCCCGCAACAAGGCAAAGACAAAGACAAAAAAAGACAGCCTTCCTTTGAGTGATCCCCTAATTAGACCACTCGACAGGAAACAACCAGAAACACACTAACATTGCATCAACAATAGCATTGATCCTCAAATACAAAGACGAATATGTAAATTACATGGTCTTAAGCGTTGTGCAATGTCGTAGCTGTTGAAACTGGTACGTGATTTGCATCATTTTCACGGTGCATGCATGACTACGGCAACAGTTAATTCGTCCGATGTTATTTGAGGTGTTTTATTTGAATTCGCGGACTATTTTTCTTAAGGGCTGTTTTAGAGAAGCAAGAATACTTTTAAAAAGAGGCAAATTAAGTGTAGTAACGTATACTTTGGCTCAAATACAACAATATATAAGCAATTATATTTTCCCTGCTGCCGTTCTAGGTTGCCAAACTCTCTAACAACGCTTCCGAGTGTGGAAGGACAATGTTAAGGACATACTCGTACATGTCAAAAGCAAGCATAAATTTCTCGTGATGTTTGCTTATTGATGGAGCACGTATTTCTAGATCTTGTCTTGATTACTTTTCTTTTCAAACGTTTGTACAGTATATAGTAGTCAAGCAGTTGAATTTCGTGTCAATAAATATATTAGCATTTAACAGTTAGACAGATAAGATCATAATTTTACGACACTGCCGGTTGTTTAATATCTGCATGCTGAGTGATTGTACTCGTTGCGCCGAATTGATAAATTGGAAGATTGGATAAAATTTTTTTGTCTTCGAGCAAGCCTTTATCCTTAAAAAAACAAAAAACAAAAAAACGTGCGAGAAGAAAACTTGAATTCGTGCAAGCATCCATCCTATGAGAGTAAACTCCAATTCCTGGACCCCTATTTGGAACTTCTGGATATACAATCTGAAGAATACATAGAATGCCGTGACATTCCTGATGATCACCCATTATTGCATTATGCAAAGCTTCCAAATTTGTGAAGACACAGGAGTTTTAAAAATTGTGGTGACGAAACATGCGAACGGGCACACGGGCTGATGGCCTGCAGAGGAGGTAGGCTATATACTTCATGTCCTAGGGGTCCCCAATTGCCGCCCCCCCCCCCAATCACCACAAAAACCATTCTCTCAAAAAGGCAAAATCCGTAGAGAAATTGGAGGGGTACACGTTACATGCTCGAAGCTGTAACTGATTAAGTATACGCTTCGAGTGAGGAAAAACACGATATACTGGAGGAACTTGATTTGTAAAATCTCGTTAAAGCATTTGTAGTCTTGTGGATATGGTTCCAAGAAGATTTAGTTTAGATTTAGTTTAGATTTTAAATTTTAACTGTTAAATACATGTATGCATTATCATAGCATGAATATTTCTTCTCAGACTTATTCTGTATCGTATAAAAAGCAACGCAATTTTAAGAATGCGGAAATGGTGCCTCATAGAACCTAGAATGATTGAAATGCAACATTTCTGATCAAAATCACATGCTCCCCCCCTCCCCCCCAGCATTACAGGCGGGAAATAGGGTGACACTGACCCCTTCCCCTGTTTTCAAGGTGACTTTTCCAATTTATTTAATTCCGAGTAGAAATGTCTGGGAAAATTTATGTCTCCGATGTGCTTTATAATCTTCGGAATTCTGCTAGATTTCACCACCAAAGTGCTTGAAATCGCATTTCAGGGACTCTAGATTTCTAGATTTTTTTCGTAATAACCGGGTACCAAGTTATTATTAAAAATTAATAACCTGGTACCAGGTTATTATGGAAACTTAATAACCTGGTATCCGGTTATGAATGTTCCATAATAACCTTCAACTCCGCATTTCCCCCGGAGAAATTAAATACCACCGCCTGCTTTTAGATTGAAGGTTATTACAGAGGAGTTAAAAACCGACAAAATACAAAAGAATATGGTCTGATGAGTTTGTAAGTGCGGAAATTGTTATCATTTTTGAGCCGAAAATGGTAACATTTTCCGCACGTAATACAAACACATACAAAATTTGCGAACAAGTCTATATTTTCCAAGCTTTACAACATTTCGCAACCAAATTTTGCAATTTTACTAATTTCATTATGTTTTTTTTTAGCTGTGGTGTTTGATTCCCTTCTCTTTACTTAGATTAAAATTTAGTCTAACATGCAAGTTGTCCATTCAAAAGAATTTTAATTAGACTCTTTTTTTTCTGGAACACCAACATGGCCGCCATGGCTTTTGTTGAGTTCGTCCCTGGGGAATGAGTGCAAACACTCTAATACCGTGCAATGATCTAAAATGAACGTGTTTTGTGATTAACATTCTGTCGTTCCGCTTAGAAAATTTGTTTTGTAGTTTTCTTGTTGTAGTAATAAAACATGTTCATATACATGGTGGCCCAAAAAACCCCAAAACTATTGAAATGACGTAAAACATTGACAGGGTGTATATACTATATATCTTTGTAAAGCGCAAGATTTTCTGCTCTTGGGAATTTAAAGCAGCTTTTAGTTCTTGAACAGTTTCTTTATGCATGAAATCTATTTATGTCAAGATTTTATGCACGTGTGGGTTGTGCAGAGTGCTGAGGCATTCAAATTCTAACAATACGCTATTTCAATTGTGTGGTTTTTTTTGGGACACCATGTATAAGTTGATGACAATACAACCAGGGACACGGGAGCTTTCCCCTCATTTCCGAGTTAAACCAGCTATGGTGGAAAATGGGCTGTGCTTGGTTCTTTCCTGTACACGGCCGAGTGATTTTCTCCGTGATTTATACTGCCCCGGGTTTTCCTCTCCCATAAAAAAGTAACCAATCCACCTTAGCTGCACTCTATGCTAAGGCGCATTGGTCAACCGAGGCGCATTGGTCAACCGAGGCGCATTGGTCAACCGTTAATCCAGTGACGTTTCACGTAATTCTGGTCTCAGCTGCAAGGAAAGGTGATTTTTATACCGTAACTTTAATCTGTATGAATTTTTCTTGCAGTATCAGCAGCTTATTTCAAAGCAAAGTATTCGAAAAATCCAGTCAATCTGATACGTTTGTGTAACGTTTGCAACAGCACTCAACCAAGATATGAACTCCATCCAGACCATATCAACGTTGTCTTACCATATAAATATCTGGCGTACCAACAGTGCTTGCCTGGCTGCGTAGTGGTAAAAAACGAAACGTCTAATATATCAACTCCCATGCTATTTAGTAATCTCAATAATGTCCCGCTTACAAATGATATTTCATGCAAGGCTTATGACGGAGCTAAAACACAACAAGGTAAAAATAATCATCAGAAGCTCAAAAGCTCATCCTCAGAAGCTCCAGTTGGGAACTCGAGTGATCAAGGTAAGAAATCAAGGCTCTGATTTCTACTAGACAGGAATGATCCATCCCGACGATTTTGGGGGAGAAAAGATAGTTCGTCTGATAATTTAACTCCAGACAAACACACCAATCACTTGTCAAGACAATCTTCGCTGTTACCAACCAAGACGATTGGTCAGATACCGTATTAGAGAGGGGGCAGGCCCGCATAATTGAGTGGGTTAGAGAGAAGCGTCGGTGTTAGAAAAGAAACTTAATAGAGAGGGCATAACCCATCTTGATGAACGAATCTCTTGTCTTGTTTACTGTATTTGCACAGAGATAAACTACAGACGAACTACATTTTCTTTGCTCATTCAGACTGGTCATCTTTAATAAACTGAACTTCCAGAACAATTTATAAATCTAATCATTATAAATACGTTTTTCGGTTATGTGGGTGGGGTCGAGGAAGCTTTGAAGCTTTTTTTTAGCCTTTAAAAAGGCTAATTTCCACTCAGGAAAATTATCCGCGGATTGGAACGGACAGGAAAATTTTTCTTTGTGTTAAAGTCATTAGTTCCAACCCAGAGCCCAGAGACAAAGAAAAATTTTCTTGCCCGTTCCAATCCACGGATAATTGTCGTGAGTGGAAATTAGCCTTACGAGAAGCGAGTCATATTGGCCAGATGGCGTATTAAAGAAGAGAGAAGATTATTAGAGAAGGAACACAATAGAGAGCGACTTATTAGAAAAGATGCTCGATAGGGTGGGGCTTATTAGACGGGGGGATTGATAGAGGGTATCAGAATTTACGCAATAGAGAATTGATAAATTAACATGAATTATTATGTTTCTGCTTAGAGCCAAATTATGAGATTCTAGTTTACATTGGTTCAGGAAAACTCATCCTCGCCGCGTTTCTACTGTCGCTGGTACTATTTACTATATTAATTTTGGATTTTACTCTTTGCCGTCAAAAGAAAGGATTTCTTTACGCTTTGCTTGGCTGTAAAAGTGATGACGTGGATCATTTGTGTCAACGTTGCGGGGAAAGAAATAGAAATGAGATTGCAGTATAAAACATAAGTAAGTACGAAGACCTGGCCATACGTCGAACTTTTCATGTGCCGAGCCAAGGAGCTGAAACAATTAGTTTAGGTGATTAACGTTAGCTTCGGCGCATGATTAAACTTGCTTAGTTAAGCCTATTGTAAAGTAGAACCCTAGAACTCATGCAGAAATGGAAAATCAAGTTCAAAAGTTAGATTTTCAAAAAAAAGTTAAAAAAAAGTTAGATTAGGGTTCAGGGGTTAGTGTTAGGGTTTAGGTGCCGCGAATTTATCATAATGATAAATTTGGACGTGTTTAACAATTTACTCGTATAGTAATTTCAAAGATGGAGCGCATGCTGAAACATATATATATATATATATATATATATATATATATATATATATATATATATATATATATATATATATATATATATATATATATATATATATAAATATATATATATATATACATTTAATTCAATTTTAATGACATTGATTAAAGAATTTTTTAAAAATCGTGACATGTGTTTCTCTCATTATTCATCATCAATACATGTACATGCATGGAAAGCCACACAGAAAATCATGACCGTGCATGAATGAAGGAGCTTGTACCTCTGATACTAAATAGCCTCCTCATTTACAAAAACCTGACAACTCACAAAATATTAAACAGCAAACAGAAAAACAACCCATTGGCTTCATAAATCTGTTCTTGAAATTTTCATTTAGTTTTTCTTAATGTTTCCGGAAATTTTACCAAATTTGGACTATTAGTAATTTTTAATCCGTTTCACTGCAATAATTTACATTTCCCACTTCCTATCCAATTCATATCTTGCCGATTGGGGAAACAAATTGCTTACTACTTAACGACTACTGGGGGGGGGGGGTTCCACCCCACTCGACATTTCATCTTATAAAAGTCTGCACAGCATGGCCTTTATGTAGGCGTAACTGTGTGGGGAAAAGACATACGCCTGTATTCTATCTGAGCATCTCTTGAGTGCCAATGCTGTTTTTGAATAGCTGGAGGGTGAGTAGTCACCGAGTAAGGTATGATACTAGCCCTCCAGCTAAAAACAACAGCATTAACACTCAAGAGAAGCTCGATCAGATTGAACCTACACTCATTGAGTGTGAGTGTGAGTGAGCTTTAAGAATACGGGCGTTAGCCCCATGCAGTAGATGTAATTTCTTAAAAAATGCCCTGGCGAGTAGTGTGCTTGATTAATTTAACACAGTACAACTCAAGTTGTAAGCAGGTTGCATGCGACGAAAATTTGTGCAGTGAAATCTACAAAGCTTCAATATAGAATTCGTCAAACATGCATATGTTGGCCGTGTTAGTAAAACACTGCAAATTACGAGTTTATACGTTCAGTACTTCGGTAGATCAAACGCGAGCGAGAGTTGCAACTCTCATATTAGGGAACATAGGACGGCAACACGACGGCGACGGCAACCAATACAATGAGTCAATGAGAAGATGTAAATAATTAAAGTCCCAACAGCAATAAGCTTGCGAACTCTTCTATATTAATAACCTGAATTTTCAATTAGCCCGTCATTTAAATTAAGCCCGTTTTATTCGCCGATCATGCAGGCGTTTTATCAATTTACATAATAATTATAAACTTTGGTCCCCTACTGATAAACCTAAAGTACATATTACGATCGCGAATTTCATTGTCTATATCATCTTCATTTGGAGTCACGATTTTATTATAATATTTCGGTAATTTTGCATTTAAGAAGACCTTTGCAGCAGTATTGATTGTTCCACGATCCCGCCAGATAGGTTTTAATAAGTAAATGAAGAGGGTGGTCGAAACCGTAAAAAGGTTAAACCAATCATGTGTTATACCCACCTGTTGTTCGGCATAATAAAAATGGAAATTATCCATTTTGCATGCATTGTGCTTTCTATAAATATAATATATATAGACATAACAACCTAATATCAGAGCTATATACAATTTGCAAAACTATACAAAGACAAAATACACTAAACTGAAAAGTGAAAGGTACGTTACTTGAGTAATTCTTAGCTGACTGTATTCGTTCGTTTTTTACAGACTATCGAGTTAAAGCTGGTTTACCCTATCAGAGTTTCTGTGATCACAGTAGGAATTTTGAATAGGTTAATTCTGAGTTTTGTAAGAATGACTCAGTGATAGGTAAATTCTGAGTTTTGTAAGAATGACTCATTGATTCAGTTCCCCCAAATATTTCTTACAAATCCTTCAAATTTAGAACTTACTTTATAGGCAATTAAATTCCTACTGTGATAACAGAAACTTTGGTAGTGTAGACAAACTTAAGCGAGAATCCACCCTTTTCGAGGTTGACCTGCGGGGGGTAACACGTGTGGTGCGATGCTAATTTTTCGGACAAACAAACGACATATTTCAGCTTTTCGGTCATGTTGTGGGGTTGTATATTACAATTTAATACTGTAATAAATATCACTTTGATAATGGTTAAACGATGTGCTTGGGGTACTTGCAATAGCGATACACGTTACCCTGAAAGATTATCTAATAAAGAGGGTAAGAGCAAACGATTTTACAGTTTTCCGTCGTTGAAAAAGCAAGAAGAGCGACGAAAAGCTTGGATAAGGGCATGCTGTCGTGGCGATCATTTCGTTTGTACTAAAGACAGTTACATTCGTGGAATTCACTTTGTTGGAAGTAACGGACCAACTCAAGACAATCCCGATCCAATACCAGCAACGGCAAATCGAGAAAAGGTTCTACATTATAAATGTTAAACTGTTTATTTGCATAAAAAAGTGTATTTTACATATTTCACGTCGCCATATTTATTCTCGTCTATACTGTGTTTAGATCAAGCGGTTAAATAACAAGAGAAAACCACCATCTCAAGGGAGAAATAAGCGTAGCAAGATAAGTAAAAGAGATGAAAAATCAGCTGCAAAAGCCATGGTTATCCTGTCCTCATCTGATCCATCTTTGGGAAAGACGACCGATGAACTACAAGTTGCCGAAACCCTTACAGCACTATCAGCGTCTATGGAAATGAAATCGAGCATTGAACCATCTGAAATTCCGTCTGACAAAGATGCTATGCCTAAAATTTCAACAAAAAATATTCGGACAGAAAGCAGTACTCAGGTAATGCATTTTTCATTATACAACCCGAAAAGAGTATGCATGTATTAGTATTTATAATATGTATAATATACAGTATAGATTATTATATATATAGCTGACAGGAGTGACAGCTGCTGCTGTTTCAAATTTAATATGTTGAACTGTTTATTTATAGACGAATATTGAAATGAACAACATTCCATATACAGAACAAATGTTAAAGAACAAAGATATCATGAGAAGATATTTATTTATTGAAACAGTGAAAAATCCCAATTATTGTTGTCATTATACAGGTACATGTTTTTTAATTAATAACATAAGACCTACAAGTTACATTTGCATGAATTTGTGTATATAACATGTCTGGGATATACTAATTGTCAAATGTATTATTTATTATACTATTTATATGTCTATGAACTGTCATTTTTGCAGGCCTTGATGTTGAAGTTTTGATGGCCCTTTATGACCTACTTAAAGAGAAAGCACCCTGTATCTGCACATGGAAAGGCTCAAGAACAACCAACGCAAATGGCTTAACAGCAAAGTATATAAAGATACAGTATTAGCCCATTAAGCTGCAATGCACCCTACTTTTTCTAATCTGTGTAACACCAGACAATTTTACTCGTCAAGGGGAGAGCTTTGCACTTTAATGGTTTGCCTAGTGATGTGCACTACTTGATTATTTTTAACACCAGAGAATTTTATTTGTCAGGGGAAGAGTGGTGCCACTCAATGAGTTGTTAATATAGCAACACTTTTGTATATTTTAGGCTATGTGTGAAATAATTCTATGCTTGCTACCCTTTGCTTGGAAAATCCTCTTTGCTGGTATGACCAATGCAAGGATGCATATAACCACTCTGACACTGTTATTCAATATGGTTATTATATTTTTAGGTGAAGTTGGCACTTAGTAAGGTGCCTATCCTGGATCAGTTTATTTTGACCCTTGTGAGACTGAGACGAAAGCCAAGCATAATAATGCTTGCTAACTTGTATGGTATTTCTCCAGCAACTGTGACAAAAATATTTATTTCATGGATAATGTTTCTGAAGGACGAGCTGATGTTTCTCCTACCGTTTTCCACATTGGAAGAAATGCAAGGTATAAAGGTGCCTAAAGCCTTCAGAGCATTTCCAAATCTTAGATGTATAATTGACTGCACTGAAATCTACATTGAAAAGCCTTTCAAAATAGCAGCACAGAGATCTACATACAGCAATTACAAGTCAAGGAACACTTTTAAAGTTCTTGTTGGAATATCACCCATCCCACATTTCAACTTTGTATCCAACCTTTTCACTGGCAGCATGAGTGATAAGGAAATAGTGAAAAAGTCGGGATTTTTGGAATATTTGAACCCAGGTGATGTTGTAATGGCAGACAAAGGCTTTAACATCCAAGACTTGTTGGCTCTCCATCAAACAAGATTAATTGCACCACCTGTGATGAAAAAGGGAAATATATCCTCCAAGTCATCCACTGCCACCAGGAGGATAACAAAGCCACGTGTTCATGTTGAACGACTGATACGAAAGCTGAAGTGCTTTTGCATTTTACGAGGAGTGATCTCATTATCACTTAAACCATATATAAACTCTATCATCAAAGTTTGTACTGCATTGGTTAATTTACAACCAAGTGCTATTAATATAGAGGACGATTATTGAGTGATTTTATTAACATTCAAAGTTTATTTATTAAATCTTGTTTTAAATAGGTGCAAATTAAAAAGGTTTTGCAGGAATGACTTTGTTTCCACCCTTGTTTTTTCGGCATCCTCATGATTAAACCAAGCATGCTCTTTGGCAACGTATTCCACAGGACTTGACTCATAAACTTCCAAATCCTATTTTCAAGAAATTATCAAGTATTGTATTAATGTTTCATAAAAAAACTATAACCTGGGCTAATGTGTTATGGAGTAGTGACAAAAGCTAGCCATAGTAGATGCTATGCAAACTTGTATTGTTTTTAGACTACCAAAGTATGTATTTGTTTGCATAGCATTACCATGTTCACTTTGGCCATTGCTTTAATTTAAATTCTGCTACATACATCATGCTTAATGTATAGTACAGTACCTCCAACAAGTGCTGGACATATTTTGCAACATATATCCCACAATTATTGCTTCCTGGTTGTTGCTGAGGAACCTAGTAGTTATAAAATTAGACAAATTCAGAAAGGGGTGAATGAAACCCATTGAGTGGCGGCAGCATTCAGAGTCCCCTGACAAGTAAAATCGTCTGGCAATAGATAGAATAAAATAATAAAGTAGGGTGTATATGGGCACATTGCCAATTGTACAATTTTAAACAAATAAGTACCTTCAACATCAAATGTTTTAACTTTAGGTGTTTATCTGCCATGTGGTGTTTCTTCACTAAATATTGAAGGTGGCTTGAATGACAAAAAAAGTTTAGTGACACCAAAAAACACCATGAGATTATAGGGTTGTCTATAAGACCTATAAGCTTGCATTATGCCTATAGTGCATGCACATATAGTCTGTATGGTAATTATAGTTAAATGTTAACTATTACCTAAAGATAATACTAAATTCTTTTTTCCGATCATTAATGTTGCAAGTTAATGAATCCATTATCAGCAGATGCCTACATATTCAAAACAAGAAAACAAAAACTGATGTTGGAATTTTGTGCAATTAAAATGATAAGCAACCATGTAATTTTAAAACAATTACGGTACCAAGGTGTAATCACAGCCAGTAGCCAATGGTGTCTGTAAAATATGAATTACAGGAATAATCATATAAAGGCATGAATTAATTAAAAGCACAACCTAATTTACATTGACTCCTGACCTCCTATTGATAGGAATAAAAATGTAATCCTTCTCTAGCATATCTGGTGAAATAAACTGCTCTGCCTGTTTATTCCTCTGTTCTCTAAAAAAGGATTAGATTTTAAAATCAATTGTTTATACAGTCTGTGAACATGAATATCTGCCCCCCCCCCCATTATCAATCTTCCGGCATCTCTGCATACTGGTCAAACTATTGTGTACCTGTAGTTCTGTTTACCATGCATGCATAATATATACAGTACCTGGTTTTCTTAATATTTCCTTCTTGTTCACCACATAATACAGTGTACCAATAGGTACTCACCACAGGAAAATTACATAGAGTTTCCCTAAAGAACATGTTCATAAAAGGTATACACTGTTAACCCATCAATAGCCAAGTTAACATTTGCCAGGCATTAGACAGGCATATTTGGGGTATATCTAATGTAATTGTGGCAATGGTGGGTTATTGTTACAATACATAGACAATTTACAGTAATCTGGATCATGACTAGTATAAAGGTATGTACATTTGCATGGGCCTATATTAAAATGACTCAACAGCAACTTTTGCTTCAAAAAAATGTAAACTTACCCTATCAGGTAATTAACAATGTTGTCATTTAGCATTGTGTTTGCTTGAAGACCATCAATGCACGCCTGGTAGATGCTGCAGCCCGATACACTAATCTTAGGGGGGTCAACAGTATCATCACAGATATCAGTGCCATCTTTGATACCTTGATCATACTTATCAAGATCTTCATGTGTAACAGGATTTTTATCGACTTTTATAGTAGTACTATCACTACATAAATCTGGGAGTTTCTCACCTGTTCAAAGTACAAATAAAAGTTTAGGCTTGTATTTATTATGTCATCCCATACATACAGTGT